GACCCAGTTTGCAGTGTTCCCAGCAGCTGTAGAGATGAACTATTACAGCAGCGTGGCCCATTTGAATGTGAGCCTTTCCCGAGAGAGAGAAAATGAGCATATTTGTACATTTGGTTAGAAAAGTTGAAAGGTACGCTGAGGGTAAAAGAGGCACCGGAAACTTCAAGGAGTGGGAGCCATGAACCTGTGGACGTGGACGCTGCCGGAGAGATGGGTGAGGAAGCTGAGGGCAAGCACACAATGGCAGACACAGTTAGAGAAGCACTGCAGAGAGCGTTAGCACAGCCTTGAGGAGGAAAATGGTGATACAAGTGAGCGGAATTCAGAATATATAAATCTATAAATACCCTCCTGTCCCCGGAGGCTCAGTAATAAGGTAACAGTCCCTGTAACACCCCTATTTCTGTGCATATCAATGGTAGCACAGTTGTTCTTTAGGTTGGAAAAAACACCCATGAAAAAACTGTCCATATGAATAAGGACATCTGTCACCTCACACATCAAGACATGCAAAAGGGACTAGCAAGATGGCTTAGGTAAAGACACTTGCTGCTGAGCCTGATGCTGAGTTCAGCCCCTGGGACCAATGTAGAAGGCAAGAACTGACCCCATAGTTTGAGTGTACAGTTCACCGTGGTGGGGACTCATGGAGCAGAGGCTCCAGGCAGCTGGTGACATTGTAGCCACAGTTGGAAAGAGAGAGGAGTGCTACTGCTCAGCTCCCTGAGTCCCCTTCCTTCAGTCCAAGAGCCCAGCCCACAACTAGGTGGGTCTCCCCACCTCAATTAACCTAACCAGAATTTCCTTCACAGATGTGCCCAGAGGCTTGTATGGTGGTGATTATAAATCCTAAACTGACAAGATGAAGCATGCACTCAGGAAGCTCGCAGAGAAGCCCTGAGTCACCTAGAACTTGTCCTGGTGACAACCCTCTGCCCGCTCTGCCCTGCCACTGAGAGCCAGACTTGCTCTAGGCAGTCACAGGTAAAGAAGTCACAGATAGAGAAGCTTCTATCTCCTCTGCCTGGACAAGGTGAGTGGCAACTTTCTGAGCATAAGATGGTGACCGACTTACCTACCAGCTTGTCACCAGATGGGTGGCTTCTGAAGGTAGAGAAATGTCTGGGTTTAGAACCATTCCTTGCTCCATAAATGCTCCAAAGACTCCATCACAGCAACAACTAGGCCTCCTTCTGTGCAGACCTTTTGAAAAATACCCGAGAAATAGCTGGGCATGTAAATACACAGCGGTAGTGTCCATCCTGGGCAACAGAGAGACATTCCTTCGAAATCAAATCTAAGGTCACCTAAGTCCCCACTTTCAATTTCAAAGACACTATAAAAAAATATACGGAAACTTGTCCCTGGCAGCATGACAATTGTGTCCCAGCCCCATGGTGGCACTAAAATATGTGTCAACACAGTGCATGGGCTGTCTAAGTCTGAAATACCTGGGGGAGTTTGTGTGTGTGTGTGTGTGTGTACACATATTCACACACACATGTGTGAATTGCTCCCAGGATTTTAACCAAATTTAAGAATCTTAGCTAATGTATCTTTCCCAGTCTATGAGTTTAAACGATGACACTCAAGGAGCCTCCTCTCAGCTCAATAAAACCATCACACGAATGGTTGATTTGAGACCCAGGCAAGGATAGCTCTTCCAGCCTGCTCCCAGTTGTCTGGAAAAGTGGCATGTCCCTCAAAACCACAATTCTGATGGAGTCTCCATTTAGGGAGCTCCAGCTGCCACTGAGGCAGTAATGGCTTCCTGCCTTGTTAATCTTCCAGGCTTCACACTCTCTCTGAACCCTTCATTTAATTCTCTGGTTTCTCTTGGGTTGGACTGTGTTCCCTGGAAGAGCTTCTGCTATGTATGAAGTATATGATAAGAACACCAGCTGGGGACATAGTGCTGGCTTGCTCGTTACTGATGACAGTGACTACATGTTCACTAGTATTTTATGGGTATAATGAGAACATGTCTAAAACTTTAAACTAATAACTCAGAGTGTAATCCTCCGAACTGTCTCAATTGTTGGCATCTTGATGCTTTCACACCAACATGAGCAAAGAGTTGAGCATGCTCTTCAGATTTCTTTCTTGGGACATACCAACTTGGACCAAATGAAGTTCCGTGAATGCTCAGGGATGCAGCTTGGACTACATAGGTGTAATCTCCATGCTTCCATTTCATGTTATGAGACACAGGAAATGGTATTTCCGTAGCGCAGTAAGGTGAATGGGGCAGGGATCCCTGGACTAGAGGCAATCTCCCTGGAGCTTCTAGCACCTATCCAATAGCCGAGGGTGACTAGGACATGTAGGGCAGAAGACTATGGCAACCAGTGTTTCCTAAATTCAGTACCTCAGGATCTGTCGCTTTAGGTGAGCAGGCATATTCCTCCAGACAGACTCTAGGAAGCATCTTGCTGTCCCTTTGATCAACCACAACTACCCACAACCAGGAAAAACAAAGACAAAGACAGCTGTTACTGTGTTCTTTATTCTCAGTCAGTGAGCCACACAGGGGTGGGGAGACAAATTGAAGGGAGCTTTTGGGGAAGCTAGCAGGTATGGGCAGAAAGGTAGGACTTGGACTTTACAAATCATGTAGAAGGTGTACAAGTATCAATTGCACCCCTCCAAGGGGGGTAACAGAGGAAGATATATATATATATATATATATATATATATATATATATATAGTCATTTCTGTTGCCACATCCCCTAAAACCAGTCTTCAAAACTGTAGACCATCATGATTTGCAGATACTTGTTCAATATGTAGGTTTTCAACAGAGAAAGATAAACACTGAGTCACAGATCAATATAACACAGAAAACTGAGCACGTGAAAATAGCTTTAATCTGCTAGCAAAAATAGATTTATGCTGATGTTGATATCAAAACTAAAGACATTCAGATGAACTGTGCCCACACACTGTAGCTGCTCTTCTTAAAATTGTGTGAGCAACTTAGCGCTCTTATTGGTAGCTAAGAGGGTGTGAGGACAGTCTGTAATACCCATGGTCCATCAGAGAGCTTGTCGTGCACAGTAAGTCTACATAAAAAGCAAAGTAACCCTTACCTCTATTTTTGGCTTGACATCTTTAAGTATAGAATAAAACATCTCATCATAAATCTGGCAAATGTAGATGAAGGGCAGTGCTAGAAGGCTGAGCAAATGATTTATTGGAAGTAGTTAAAAATGGGGTATGAGGAAAACATCAGTCTACATGAACTAAACATTAAAAAACTCAGTTTATGTCGTTTTCCCTCAGGGAGCCCCCCAGATGCACTGGAAGACTGGGGGCTGCTGAGGCATTCTTGCTACTTGCTAGGTAACTGTATTGAAATCCGCAAGTGAACCCCTAGCTAATTAGTACAAGAACCGGCTTGAGGCGGAGGTGCACTACATCTGTTTAGTACCAGACGCCCTCTAGTGTTTCAGAGGTGCACTGCATCCACTTAGTACCAGACTCCCCCTAGTGTCTCAGGGGTGTACTGCATCTGTTTAGTTAGTACCAGATTCATAACTAGTGTCTTGGAGGGGAACTGCATCTGTTTAGTTATTATCAGAAGCATCCTAGCATCAGGACATCAACTGCAGGAAGAAGCTGAACTAAGGCTTTTGTTACTACCTTATGGTACCCAAGGACCTGTGGAGGAAACTGCCCCCCTCCTTTTGTTACACTGAAGATGCTCATTCCTTAATGATGTGTTGCAGTTTGGGGTCATGAGTACTAAACAGAGGAACATATGAAGTGTAGTGTGTGGTTAACACAAGGTTCTATAGCCAAGAGAATATCTGTAACTTATCATAAGCTTGGAATAGGAAAATTAGAATGAGAGAGACTGAAATAGGCATACCAAATGGAGCAGTGATTGGTATTACATATTTGAGAAACTCAGAGTCCAGAAACTTAACCTTCACCTTAATTCTTCTCAAACAATACCGAATTTCTGTCTTCCTTATAAAATATGCAAGTCCTACGCAGACAAACTTGGTGGAAGGATGTGTTAAACAGGATGGAAGGAACCCAGCAGCCTCCTCCCTCCCACAGGGAGTTTTATGATTCAAACACCAGGGTTGCACCTCCAGACCAACTGCATTTCAGAAAGCTCTCATCCAGACACTGACAGTGACAGAGAATTTATACATAGTTCTGGAATGTATTTTGTTCATTCCTGTCCCTGATTCAAATATAGTGACAACAGAGGTGACATCTGGGTCAGCTGTTTATGGGATTCCAAAATAAAACTTGAAATCAACAGAAATTATATCATCAGATGACCTAAGAATTTTCAAACAACTGGTACCACAAGGTGTCACCCATTCCTGGGGTATATTTTGGGGGGGTGTTTTTTGTTGTTCTCCCCCTCTCCTTTGAGCCAGCCTCTGGAGCAGGCCTATTTACCAGTCAATATTACTAAAACTCCACATTTATCCCCACACTGTGTACACCAGGTTTGTTTCTCCACTGAGAGCCCTTAAATCTACAGCCTCCGGCTTCCTCATGTCTGTGAGCAGAATGTGGATCACACTTTAAAGGAAATGAAGACAAAAAAAATGGGAACTAAAGAATCGAGCTGTGCCATCCAGCTGCTTAGAAATGGAAATGAGATCCCCACTGTGTTCATCTTGATGTCTCTCCATAAAATGGAATACATGAACCAATATTTAATGAGTTGTTTAAAATGGCAGTCACTTGTGGACTCCAAAGACCACTGATTCCCCTTCAACACGCTGGTGTGAAAACTCAGCGCTGTCCAGTCAGCTATTTGGGAGGACACAGGTCAGCTCTGTGGGGCCGGCTCTCTCCTTCCATCTTTTATGTGGGTCCTGGGGATTGCACTAAGGTGGCCAGGCTGGGACAATAGTGCCTTTAACTGCTGAGCCAATCTCACTGCCCCCCTCAAATGCTTTCTATTGAAATTTCTTTACCTTATCATTACACACTGTTTCGTAGAATCATTACAGACATTCAAGTCAAAGGCTTCACAATCAGGCTTTGGTTTTAATGTGCTCTGGGCAGAAGTCAGAATTGTTTTGACAACACAATTCAGCTACTGCATAAATTCTATTATCATAATGTGAAGTAAGACACTTACAAGAACCACAGCTTCCTTTTGGTATCTCCTATTGGAGACAGAGGCAGACCTTAGAGTATTATAAACAAGAAGAGAGTAGAGGAAAGAACTAAAACCTTTGTGGTTTTCTCAGGATGACACAGACAGCAATGCTTGATGATTGTCTATAAGGCAGATGGTCGTCAAACCTTCTACACACGGTTGAGAGTACAGAACTTAGTGAGAGGTAGAAAATACCAAAGCCACACGGAAAGAAGGACGTGCCAGGCTATTTAAAACCACCAGTGACTTCACCAAAGTTTAATCGGATAACAGGCTGTTTACTGTATATCTTGTACTAAATGGGAGACATTCCATCCTTAATAGGGGCCAAAAGGAAGGCTTGCAAGCCAGGGGTGGGGCAGGATGCTGAAAGTAGTTTCTTAAATGGTTAAGGATTCGGCTCTCACTGAGGAAAAACGGAATGCCTTCTGCCTCCCTAGGATGCCATCAGGAGAATGAATTATTGGAGATTTCTCTGATTAATGCAACCTCTCTAAGCAGTGGGGGGTTGCATATAACTATAGGGAGAGAAGGCTTCCCATTACAGACAGGCAATGTCCACCTTACATAAAAAATATGCATCCTACTAACCCCACACAGATGCCGTAACCTCTAAAATGCAAATGAAAATATCCTTGGTACTTCAGCACCAGCAGACTTGTTCTGTATGAGCAATTCAAGAGCTGTCTGAGGCAAAAAGATATCCCAGCTACCAATTAAACCTGGAAAGCTGGTGCATGGGTGAGCAACCCTGGGTGTTATTTCTCAATGCACCTGGGAGATTGTTCTTTTTCTCCAGAGTGATTTTATAAGGCATAAATTTTATTTTTCCCCTTACCTTTGGAAAATTAGTGTTAAAGCTTCTTTTTCTTTTAAACCCACACATTAACATTCAATCTTCCATTTTTATTAAATAGTTTATATATAAAAAGAATTACCGAGGTGTTCTACATTCGTATAAACAATCATGATAGTATTTGAAATTGTAAAGAAACTTACTGAAGAAAATATACACTTCAGTACTTACAATGCTATAAGCTAAGCACAAGTGGTCATTCTAGATGCTATCTTTTAAAGGTACAGACACAGGTGTGTGCTGCTTCCAGAAGCAAATGTGGGGCAAGGACACTAACAGTTTTCTTCTCTACTTTTTCACCACAAGACGGGATGGTCTAGTTTGGAAAAGCCAAGTTCTTTCCTCAGTTCCAGGTATGTCCCGTTGCTCACCCAAGAGTCGTCGCTGGATTTCCTGTGAGAGAAGAGACAATTTCTCGTAGATTCTGCTATCACATCCTCTCTTCCCCGCATCCCCATCATCGTTCAGACACAGCCACTGTTCCTGTTGTCTGGGTATCAGAGTGGTGTCGGCAGGCTGGCAGCCATTTTTACTTCTGACATTAAGTTCTTAAACCTGGAGGCTGGGAAGGCAGTGTTCTGAGAGAACCTCTCTCTCTCTCTCTCTGTCTCTCTCTCTCTGTCTCTCTCTCTCTCTCTCTTTCTCTCTCTCTCTCTGTCTGTGTGTGTCCATTCTCTCTCTGTCTGCTGTACATCAAACAGGGCTGGGCTAACAGCCACCACACTGGGAACGACTAAATACTACACAAGCAACTAGGTTGACCAAAGGAAATCTAAGTGAGCATAAAGCCAAACAGAACAAAACAAAAAGGAACAGGAACTGGATACCACAACCGTTTGGAGTGAGAACTTTTGGGTTACTCCTCTGGGAAAGACACCCTGCTCTGTAGATGGAAATGCAACAGGCATGAAAGGATACAGGGCTGACACACTCCTGAGGCAGGGTTGTCAGCTTTATTCTGCCAAAGAAAGCTCATGCCCGTGTCCACACACATCGCCTTCTCTCCCGTTCTGTCCCTTGGACATTAGACTCCACAGTCTATACTGGAGATCATTTTCTATTCACACAGTAAGATGTGTGATGTTGGTCTACTTGGTAAGTCAACAAACCATGACCCAAGGGCCCAATTCAGCCTCCAGTGCCTGTATACTTTGGAACATTAGAGATCAAGCCGAGGGCCTCCTGACAATGACCTAACTATTCTACCGCCCAGCCTTGCATATCTTTGAAATACTGTTTTATTAGAGCCTTACCCATTTCTTTAACTATTACCTATGGTTACTTTCATGATGAACAGCTGGCTAAGTAATTGCTTATGCCTACTGCCTGCCAAGCTAGCACCATCTACCATCTGCTTTTTATAGGTGAGCTTGGTGACCTCAGCAAGGGGGCTTCTCATTCCCTTTTAAACAGTTGAGTGATATTCCATTGTGGGGATGGGTGACGGTTCATCTTAGCATTGCCCTACTGATGGGCAGTTAAGCTACCATTAACTCCATTAGTAATAAAGCATATGTTCTGGGTGCTATTTTTTCTTTTTAGAGGCAGGTTTTTGATTTTGTTGTCATGCTTAACTTGCCTAGGCTGGCCTTGAACTTACAATCCTCCTTTCTCAGTCTCTGGAGTGTTAGGATTATAGGTCTGTGCCACCAGGACTGGCTCTCTCAATGTTTCTAAATATATACATTTTCTTGCTGCTAGGATTAGTTCCTACTGTCTTCTGGAAAGTGCCATTTGTGCCCTGCCTCTTGGGGACCTGGCAGAGTGCCCAGCCCTGCACGCATGGCAGGCAGTACCATAGCTCTGTATTCAGGTGCAAAGGTCCCTTTAAGAGACAAGCTCCACCTACTCCCATTCTCTTTCTGTCATTTCTCTGAGGAGGCAGACAGATCTCTATCCATCTCTCTGTCTCCTCTCTGTCTCTGTCTCTGTCTCTCCTTCCCCACTCCCTTCCCTTCCCCAATAAAACTTCCTTCTCATGTAAGGTCTGCCTGATAGTGTATTTGCCTCTTACTCGCTAATGGGACCCTTCCAAGGTCCCCCCTCTCACCATATTCATGACACCTACCCCAAACATCAGTAAACCAGTGGCTGTAGGTCAGGAGTAGGCTCACCAGGAGTGAGTGCATTCTCTACATATTCCCAAACCACAGAGAACATTGGCTAGGCTGTCAGGAAAGGCATGGATGGACCCATCTGGAAGATTCTACCGGGCCCTTCTTCAACCCCCTCTATTTTATTGGTCTCTGTTTCTTCTCAGTTAAAGTAAGTAAGGGAGAGGCGTAAAAGGCTACAATTGCCCACAGCCCTCTTACAATTTTAAGTATATTGCATACAAGATCCTCTCAACAAATCATCTGTCTGCCTACCGATAGACAGGGTTTCACACTATAGCCAGGGCAAACCTCACACTCTTACCGATCTTCCTGCCTCAGCCTCCCTCGTGCTGGGATTGCAAGTATGACTACAAGCCACTCAGCTCCAGACAGTTATTTTAAAAGTAACGGTCAATCAGACCACCTTTCGAACCCAAGCACAAACGTATTGGAACTGCTGGTTCTAGGCATACGTACTTTGAACTCTACAGTAGTGTGGTCACCAACTAGCCTGTCATCATGTAAAGTCTAACCATGCCAGCAACCAGCCTCAGGATGGCCCGGTGTTAGGACTAGCTCTGACAATGTCCCTCTCTTCTGCTGCGGGAATTGACAGAGAAACTCTCGGTGGAGGCACTGCTGAGCCAAGGAGAAGAAGCAAAGGGAGGCAATGAGGAAGGCACGGGTCCTGTCTCAGACCAGTGACAGCCAGGCAGATGCTATTTGTCTGCTGTTGACCAGCACCCAGAAAAGCTGGCAGGACCTCTCAGCCGCCACCGCACTGCATGCACAAACCTGAAAAACCGGGGCTGGTGCTCCAAGTTGTTTTCCTCTAAGACTCGCCTCCTCTCCCTCTGCAGCTGTTCAATCCTCTGCTTCTGTGCCTCGGCTTCCTCTATGTTCCCTTCTTCTAGAAGCCTGGGCATCGAGGGGGAAGAGGAAAGGAATATTCACTGAAATAATAACACCAACCGCTTCTATGCCCATGGCTGGATATTCAAAACCCCCTACACCCAGTGCCTTCTTCAACCCATTCTGAGCCAGAAGAAGATAACCTTCTGTGAACCGAGATATCTGCAGGGTTCAAAACTCTATCCAGAGAAACCCCAGCCAGTCTTCTACTTCTCTCACTCCCCCAGGGCCAGCAATCTCATGCTGTTTGTTCCTTGGCTACATATTTTTCAAATATAAATGCATATTTTTATTCTGTCCTCCATGTTAAGAGCATAAATAGTGGCAAAACTGTATTGCTTTACTTAATAATACATCTTAGAGAACTTTTCACAGTATCACCTAGACAGCTTCATTTTTTAAAAGATTTTATTTATTTATTATGTACACAACACTCTGCTTCCATGTGTATCTGCACACCAGGAGAGGGCACCAGATCTCATAACGGATGGTTGTGAGCCACCATGTGGTTGCTGGGAATTGAACTCAGGACCTCTGGAAGAGCAGTCGGTGCTCTTAACCTCTGAGCCATCTCTCCAGCCCGACATCTTCATTTTTAATAGCTGCATAGATTCTTATTTCAAACATGCTCTACATGTAGACATTGGGTTGTTTCTACTATTTTTAGTGTTACATTTAATGTTGCAGTGAGTGACTGGACAACCACCATGTACACATAGAAAAGTGTATCTGTACAAGAAACTTCTAGACTTAGGAGTGTCAAAACAAAGATGAGTCTGCAATGGACACATTGTAAAACTACATGTTATAAGGAATTAAAGCAATTTGTATTCCCCTTTATATTATATATTTATATTATAACATGTTGTCACCAGCCTCAGGGAGGTTTTTATTTTTTAATTTTTTGCCCATCTAAGGTAAGAATGCTATTTTCACCTGATTTTAAAAATTAGCATTTAAGTTGGGCAGTGGTGGTGGCATACACCTTTAATCCCAGCACTTGGAGGCAGAGGCAGGTGGACCTCTGTGAGTTCGAAACTAGCCTGGTCTACAAGAGCTAGTTCCAGACAGCCTCTGAAGCTACAGAGAAACCCTGTCACAAAAAAACAAAACAACAAAAAAAGAGCATTTAAAAATATTATGAGTGAAACTGAATTTCTCTCCATGTTTAAGGAATATCTGGGCCTCTTACCCACAAACTCTTCATTCCCCAGGTCCATTTGACATTTTACTGATTTCTAGAGCAAATCCATACTGTAAGATTGTAGATACAGGTTTATGTTAATCATTTATCTTTAAATTTGCTTATGCACTTGTGTTTAAGGCTTTAAAAGAAAAGTTAATCGCACACAGAAATCTCTTTCACATGGCCTTTAGATTTTGAGTCTCAATTACAAAAGGCTCGGGGGAGATTGTTCTTTCTGTCTATGGAGCAGGAAACTGAGGCTGGGAAAGAGAAGCCTCACCACAGACCATGCAACACATTAATAGCAAGCCCAGAATCAGAAGTTAGATCCCAAAGCACTAAAAACCAATTCACCTTGAGGGGTCAGGAGAGCTGCATGCTTTCATTATTTCAAGCAAGCAGCAAATCCCTTGTTACTACACACAGTGTCATTCTTCAAAACAGCCCTCCCCTCCTTTCTGGTATTTCAATAGAAATGGGACCTACAAATGTGTGGAGCCACACCCCACAAGGATGGACAAGCATGCTCTGGTCCCTCTGAGACAGATATTTCACGCCCCCACTTTGTCCCTATGTACCTGATGACAGCGCCCACTTTGGGCTCTGGGTAGCCAGGCAGTTGTGAATACCACTTTTTGTAGATTGTTTTGAATGTCTCTCGAGAGAAAGAACTTTGAAAAAGTCCTTACCTTTGATCTGGTCTAAACCGAGTGTCGGTGGGTGGTAATAAAGACCTTGACAGAGGATCCATTTCATTTAACTCTAATGCAAACTGTGTGAAGCCATAATACTGCTCATAGCCTTTCGGCATGGGATCTGAAAGAGAAACAAACCACCCACTCTCATTTGCAATTCATTTATGCTAGTTTAATTCCTTCACCTTTTTCTCATCCCAGACCAGCTATGTTTTATCTCTAAACTGTTCCATTTCTATTAAAATATTCGGACTAATAAGTAGCTATTGAGCATTTCTCTACAGATTTTCCTGTCTGAGTTTTCTATCGAAGGGATATGGTTTCTTTGCCTTGGTCCTTTAGTGAATTTATTCAGCGCCATGGAGCATCTGTACTGTCTGAGTTATCACAGAATTTGTTATTCAAATATACACACCAGGGGCCCAGTGAGATGCCACTCAAGGCTGATGAGCTGAGTTCAGAACCTACATGGTAGAAAGAACTGACTCCACAAAGTAGTCCCCTGGCTTCCACATTCCTGCTATGGCATGCAAGTCCCTGCATTCATAACATAACACACACGCGCACACACACACACACACACACACACACACACACACTCACACATAAACTCACACTCACACACTCCATACACACACATATACACTCACACTCTCACACAGGCGCGCGCACACATACACACACACACACACACACTAAAGTTTTAAAAATCAGATCAAAATAAATAAACCCACTCGGCCTTTTCTTGACTAGCCAGTTCCCACAAAAGACTCATGTTCATGCAGATGCTATTCTTTTTTTTCCCTCCTCTCCTTTCTTTCTATTGTTTTATGGAGACAGGGTTTCTCTGTAGCTTTGGAGCCTGTCCTGGAACTCACTCTGTGGACCAGGCTGGCCTTGAACTCACAGAGATCCACCTGCCTCTGCCTCCTGAGTGCCCGCCTCATCTTTCTTTTCACCGAGTCTCAGCCTCTAAAGTCTCACACCCCACGGGTAGAACATTAGGTTCTTCTTTGCCCTAACTTTGGTCTCAGCTGAGAATCAGGTATAGACCGGGGAGATTCAACCCAGACTAGGGAAATTCCCAGACAGCTGTAACACTTGCTGGTCCCAAATCCACATATAAAGGTCCTCCGAGAATTATTTCTTACATTTCACTGGCATTTCAACAGGGTCTGTCACAGTCCCTTGGATTGTCAGTGGCTCCTTTCTGAGGTCCTGAGAACCCAGAACGGAACCGGAACCGAGCAGCCAAACTGAGGTGCTATTGTAAACATGACAAGGACTTGACAGATGGCCCAGTCCTGCTGGTTACCAGTAACCTGCTAACAAGCCGGTGGCAGCTAGAGACACAGAGCAGCACTCGCCCCTCCCAGCTCCCCTGCCCTGACCCAGACACTCGTGTGTTTCATGCTTGGGCTCTGGTGGACACTCACTTGCTCTCCAGACACACGTGGAGGAGGAGGCACCACCGCAGTAGATGCTCTCATGCCATTTTCCAAACAGCCGGTGAACAGCCTTCCCATCGCGGTCGAATACCGTGCCTTCGATCTCGTGAGCATTAGTGCTCCAGTATTTTGCCTAGAATGTGGACAAGAATTGTCTGGGTAAGACTCTGGAACTCACTTATTACAGGTATTGAGGAAGGTTTAAAAAAAGGGGGGGAGGAGCAAGAGAAAGAACTAAGAGGAAGGCAGGAGAATCAGAACTTCAAGGTCATGCTCAGCTGTGAGTCGAATTTGAGGTTAGCCTGAACTACATGACATCATGTCTCAGGGGAAATAAAAAAAGCCATAAGAGTTATAGGTTGTTTATTGAGTTAAAAAATACAAATTATATATATGGACCATGTACAAAATGATATTTTGAAATATGAACACATTGTGGCAATGGCTAACTCAAGCATGCTTTCCCTCACAATTTTTAGGTGAGGGAACTTTAAAAGTGTGGTTGGCAATTTTCAAGTCTATAGATTCATTCTTAATGGCTCTCTTGAGTTTTTGGAAAGATTGCATCCTTTGATCAGTAATTTCCCCTAGCCTCACCCCTACCTTGGGTAACCTCTCCCCTCCTTTCTGCTTCTAGGAGTCAACAGTTTTAGTTCCACTTACAGATGAGGTGATGCTACAATTCTATGGTCTTGGATTATTCCGATTTGTACAGTTTGTACTACAACCTTCTCTGTATATATTGTAAACGACAGGACTTCATTTTTTCTGTGGCGGGCAGTATTCCATTGTGCTTTTGCAACCTCTGTGTTGATGACACTTAGGTGGTCCCTTCTTTGCTCCTATGAATGGTGCCGTGAAGAATACAGGAGTGCCGACGGCTATTTGAGTCTTGATTTCATGCCCTGTGCCTGTCAACACAGGAGTAGGACTGCAGGGCCTCAGAGAAGCTCAGTGTTTTGAGGAACTTCATTCTCCCCGATTGCTGCACAATTTAGGCCCCATCCCCAGGGTTCCCTTCTCTTCATTCTCAGATCGACCTTTCATCTTTTTGGTGCCAGCAATATATATATATATATTTTTTTTCTGAGACAGGGTTTCTCTGTGCAGCTTTGTAGCCTGTCCTGAAACTCCCTCTGTAGACCAGGCAGGCCTTGAACTCAGAGACCCGCCTGCCTCTGCTTCGAGTGCTGGGATTAAAGGACTGTGCCACCATCGTCCCTCGGTGTGAGCTATTCTAAGAGGCAGTGAGGTGATACCTGACAGCATTTCCAATGTGCGTTTCCTGGATGACTGATTAGTGGCGCTGAACATCCATTCCTCTGTCTGTCTGCACTTTTCCAATGTCTGTTTAGCCACTTTGGTCCCCTTTCCTTGGAGGCAGGCTCCCTGCCACCGAGCTGTGTTTCTAGCTCCATTTGTCTTTGCTGAAAACACCGGCGTATGTGATCATGTCCTTGAGCATGCTATGCACACATGTAGAAATGGGAAGATAACTTCCAGGAGTCAGTCCCCGCCCCCACCCGCCCTGAGGGTTTTGGAGGCCACACCCATGTCCTGAGACTTGCAGCAAGAGCCTTCACCATCAAGCCTGGCCCACTGCACTTGATCTAGTATCTGTTGGTTCATCTGTATGTGGACTGCAGTTTATGCTTGAGATGGGCTCTTGCAGTGATCCTTCTGCTTTAGTGGCCTGAGTTCAGGTGCGGGTCTTACGAAGGTGCATTATCACACCTAGCTCCCCAGTTACCCTCTATTTCCTTCCAACTGAGTTGAGTTCCTTTGTATGTTTTGCACACCTAACCAGATTGCAAATATTGCCTCTTTTGCATGTAGATATCCAGTGGTCCCAACAGCATTACCGAAGAAGCTGTCCTTTCTCACCATCTGTTACTGGGATCTTTTTTGAAACCAATTAAGAGTTAACTTGGATTTATTTCCAAGCTTTCTAGCTGGCCCCCATAGCCTGCCTAGGTTCTGGATTTAAAAATACATTAAATGGGGCTGGAGAGATGGCTCAGAGGTTAAGAGCACTGACTGCTCTTCCAGAGGTCCTGAGTTCAATTCCCAGCAACCACATGGTGGCTCACAGCCATCTGTAATGAGATCTGGTGCCCTCTTCTGGCCTGCAGGGACACTGTATACATAAAATAAATCTTAAAAGAAAAAAGAAATATTAAAAAAATACATTAAGTTATTTAGCAAAACTTCAGTTAATCTCCTATTTGCAGTTTGTAACCCAATAGCAAACATGTGCATAGGTTATGTACTTTTTCTACTTTTGCTTCATATAATGTAGTAAATACAAAACTCGGTTCTTAGGTATTCACCAAGTACCTAGTGCTAACTGGTTAGTGTATTAGCAGCTGCCCCGGGCATGTCACTGTGATTCTAAATTCTCAGAGCTCTCACTGCTACGATTTAAGATTTACTCATAATTCTTTTTACCTGAAGAAAATAGTCATTTGCATACTAGTTAAAGAGGTTGCTTAAAACTGCAGTTTTTGCTATTTTCCCCTTCTAGACCTGTTCTGGATGCAGGGCCTTGTACAAGCCACTTTCTCAGCATGTATCAATAGTGGCTGTGAGGCAGCCTTGAGTCTTGGCTTAGTGTGGCTCAACCATGCTAGGCCCAATTCCAGAGCATAGCTCAACTCAGTCTAGCTTATGCAGTGCGCTCTCCAGCCAGCAGAGGGAGTGCCAACTCCTTAGAGGCGATGCTCTGGAAATCTCCCAGTACTTGGCTACCCTTAAAAACCCCATCATGAACAGAAGGCATTTCTCCATAAATGAAAAGCCCTTGTGCTATTTTCATCTGAAACTGAAGTCATATTTGGAAATTCTAGTGCCATTTCCAGGTCATTTTCTGCTGGTTCAAATTCTCTCCTTCAAAGCTTTGGTAAAATGCAAAGGGAAGGTGGGGCAGAAAGAGTTCTCCAGCCATGTAAAAGGGGCAGGGGAAGAAAGGATCCCAGACCCTTAAGTTCATTGGGAAGCAGGGGCCAGATTTTATGATATTCATCAACAAAGCAAATGCTAATGACTGGACAGGAAACCACAGAGGAGACAGCCATGCCTCACGGGTGCCTGGCAACTGCTCCCATATTCTTTCAACACCCAAGGCTCATCTCAAATAACATCATGCATATTTCCTGCAAAGCTGGGTGATGGTGGGCACCAGTAATCTCAGTACTCTGAGGGCTGATGCAGGAGGATGGCTCTGAGTTTGAGGCCAGCCTGGACTCAAACAAATGAACTCATTCTTTCTCTGGTCCTGAGTAGATGAGAACAGGGTAGATGGTAGACAAGGGAGTGAACACATTCCTTTGGGGAGATGTGGACAGCTGGTCTACCTGGATCAGGGAACACATTCTTGCTCCTGTTGCCCGGTCAACCTCACAAACATCCCTGTGTGTTACAGGAGGTACAAAGAAGATTTATGAATTTGCACACAGATCGGGATTTTGATTTCAGTTAAAGGAAAACATTCTTTGGCAGGGGTTATGCCTTAAAGCCACTTTGAGTACATGAGGTTTTAAAAAGCAAAGACAATTCTAGGAGAGTGGAAAGGGATAGGTCTCAGATTAGAGAAGTTGGAGGGAGACCCTCCATATTTTCTTGTGTGTGTGTGTGTGTGTGTGTGTGTGTGTGTGTGTGTGTGTGTGTGTGCGCGCGCACGAATGTGTGTGGACACGAATGCGCGTGCACTGTCCCCTTCCCTAGTCCTTTCTTTCATGACAGAGTCCCATGCTATGGTCAAGTTTGTTGTCTGATAACAATTCACAAGCCTCAACCTCTTGAGTGTTGCAATGACAGGTGCACACCACCAAGCCTGGCTTCATGTCAACCACTCTCAGATGCATAGCTCAAAAACATGAGGTACATTCCCAATGCTGCACAACTGTCACCACTTTCTATTTCTAGAACTTTGTCATCTTTCCAAACAGAAGCTCCAAACCCACGACACACAAACTCTCCTTCCCTCCACCCAGCCCCTGATGAACCCTGCTCTGTTTTCTTTCTCTTTTGGCGATCCATGTAATTGGAATAATATAGAATACATCTTTTCATGTCTGGTTTGTCCACTTAGCCTAATGCCTTCGTGTATCTTTGTGTCTGATGACATCTTGTAAAGGAGTCCCCCAGGCTCTGCACAAAGGGCAGATGGTAGGGGAGGCAGGCAGGGTCAATGTTCCAGTCAGGTGACAGAGTGGAAAACAGCCTGTGCTCTGGGAATCTGGCACTGCCTCAGCCCTCCAGCACCGGAACTTGGCTCCCTCAAGGTACCTTTATGAAGTTCACTTTGCAGTGGCAGGAATCGTCCGTCAGGTTCTTGATGACAATTTCACCATAGTGCTCGATCCACCGCTGTCCACTTAAGATGTTGTGGATGCAGGAGGTCACTTTGTTCCACTCGAAGTGATCTCCAAAACTGAAAGAGAGGAGGGAGTCAAAGATGGCTTCCAGAAGAGCCAGCCACAGATACAGCAGGCCATCCCACTTTATACAGCGAGGTAGGGGACTGATCACTCATCCTTCAATAGCAGACCCTGTATCAAATAAAGCTCCAAGTGGCATGTGAGCAGAGCCTCTTGAGCCGGCAAACTCCCCTATGGAAGGGGAATTGGCAGAAGGATGCAATGGTTGGAGGCCAGGCTCCCATGCTTTAATAGTCACACATTATTTACATCTTTTTCATGAGAAAGACCTCAGGCATTGCTTAGTAGCAACTTCGAGGAGATAGTAAGCAATAGTTTGAGTGCTTTATGCTTTATGCTTTATGCTTTATGCTTTATGCTTTAACGTGTGTCTAAGAGGCAGCGGGGGCACTAGTGACAAGAAAGGCATGGCGGTCTGACCAACAGTCGCGTGAGAAAGGGACACAGCCGCATGTGATCCACAGCCTGGCCCAGAGTGGAGTCACCACCACTTTGCTTTAAAGACACCAGGTGATGATGCCAGCATAACCAAAGCCAGGTCTGTCTCTGAGGGAATTCTGTCAGTGAGGCAGGAGCACAATGATAAAGAGAAATAACCCTTTATCTTGGAGGGAAGCAGAAATGAATTTTAACATCTTCTGCTCAGAGAGCTGTTGTCTGCAAGAGGCATTTCCATACAGTGAGAGAAAATACCAGACACTGAACCTGCCAGGAGGAGGTTGCCTGAACCCACTGACAGACGTAGGGAGAGAGAAAAGCATCATCTCCAAGCCAGGAGGATGGTGGCAGCCTGGATAGTCCCCTAACATGGACTATCAGGAACTGACATTCCTAACGAAGAGGAACTTACGCAGGCAGAGTCACGTGGGTTGTGCCGATTGGGACAATTTCCATGGATTTACCCCAGAATTTATTTTTCCATCTCACATCTGAAACAAAGTATCAAACACATTCAACAAGACAGCTGGGTAGGATAGAGGTTTCAGGCTCACAAATGACTGATTATCCTATAACTGCCACAGATAAAGTAGTTTTAATGGAGACAATGCACCCACGTGGGTATCCAAAACAGAATCAGGAAAGCAAAGTTGTAAGACAAAGTCCTCTTGAAAGAGTCAACAGCACAAAAGCAAGGTAAAAACAAGTTGTGGTCACACAGACACAGGCTGCCCTCAATGTGCTGCAGCATCAAAGAGGCTTGTTAGAAAGGCCAAGATCAAAAACTCTGATGACAGCTTATGCTGGAGAGGACGTGGAGAAAGGGGAAACACTCTTCCATTGCTGGTGGGAGTGCCAACTTGTACTGACACTTTGGAAATCAGTATGGTGGTTCCTCAGAAAATTGGGAATGAGTCTACCACAAGACTCAGCAATTCCACTTTTGGGCATATACCCAACGGATGCACACTCACACCACAAGAATACTTGCTCAACTATGTTCATAGCAGAATTATTTAAAATAGCCCTAACCTGGAAGCAGCCTAGATGCCCCTCAACCAAAGAATGGACAAGGGAAATGTGGTACATTTACACAATGGAGCACTACTCAGTGGTAAAAAATAACGACATCTTGAAATCTGCAGGCAAATGGACAGATTTAGAAAAAGCCATCCTGAGTGAGATGACCCAGACCCAAAAGACAAACACAGTATGTACTCAGTCATAAGTGGATATTGGAGGAAAAGCAAAGGATAACCAGGCTACAGGCCACACCCCCCAAAGAACCTAGGTAACAAAGAGGTACCAAAAGAACAAAAAGTAACAAAGAACCTAGAGCCCTAAGAGACACACAGAGAACAAAGCATGGGCAGGAGGGGTTAAAAGCAAGGGGATAAGAGATCTGGCTGCTGGGACTGTTCAGGGGATCAGCAGGAGTCAATCGAGTCCAGCCAACCACTGTGATGCAGGGGCTCACAAGGAAGGAAGCAAAATGGAGCAGCAAACACACAGAGGCTGAGAAAAGAGGGGTGTTTACAAGTGGTGCCATAGAGAAAAGGGAGGACCAGAGGGGAAGCAGGCCTTGTCTGGTGCTGCACTGAGAGAGAAGAACCATAGGGATGGAGAAGGCTGGGAGACTCACGGCTGAGGTCCAGGTGAGTGAGGTGAGTGATTCCTTTTATGAAACACTGGAAATGGTGAACATGAAGGAAGCTCTGGGAACATTTGTTTTTGGAGTGATGAAATGATTTTAAAACTTAATTTTGCTAATAAAAAGTCAGAGTGGGTAAACAATATAGTATGTGAGTATTTCTTAATAGAAATACTGAAGAAGGGAGAACTGGATTTCAGCAAAGATAACAACGCATTGCTGAATTTGTAATACACACACACACACACACACACACACACACACACACCATCTCACAAAGTTCATGTTTATGTTGCTATGTGTCCTACTAATCTATATACCTATACATCTAAACTGATATATAACAGTGCCAGTTGATGGCAGGCTGTAATTAATACCTTAAAGATACATAATCTTGAGGTAACTCTAAGGCACAAAACAAAGAGCTATACATAATAATCCACAGAAGAGATAAAAAGGATATGTAGAAAGTATTCAATTAATTCAAAATAAGGCATTAAAAAGAGGAAAGGGGGAAGCAAAGAATAGATTTGATTAATTAGAAAACATGGCACGTTTAAATCACCTACATCTGTAATCACAATAAATGTAAGTGATCTAAACAACCCTGTTAAAAGGCAGAGAAGAGTGAGATGAGATGAGGAAGATTTGAAGATCCTACACCAAGGAACAGTGGAATCACCCAGAAAGGGTGAGTAGGATTGTGTGTAACGCAAAGGGCTTCCAGGGACTATTCTAAGAAGGTTCTCTTCTTAAGATAAAAATGCAGAGTTTTGTGAAAACAACAAAGAAACACTTACAAGGCCAATGAGATTTATCAGGTAGGAGCTAAGGAGCCCTACAAGAAACATTTCCAGAAGGTGTTGTGAGATATTTGATTATACTGTGTAAAGATATGTCACTGTGACTGGTTTAATAAAAGCTTAAATGACCAATAGCTAGGCAGGAGGTATAGGCAGGACTTCCAAACAGAGAGAGCTCTAGGAAGAAGGAAAGAGGAGTCACCAGTTGGATGCAGAGGAAAACAGGACATGCAGGAGGAGAGGTAAAAGCCACCAGTCATGTGATAGCAGTAGATGAATAGAAACAGGTTAATTTAAGTTATAAGAACTAGTTAGAAACAAGCCTAAGCTAAGGCCAAGCTTTCACAATTAATAAGAAATCTCCGTGTCATTATTTTCAAGCTGGCAAGAAAGACTTGCTACAAGAAGGTTTTGGTGAAAAGCAGAGATATCTCAGGTGAAGCTTCAATGATTAATAGCAAGCATCAATGGCAAAGATTAAAGAAAGAAACACTTTACTATTAACTTTCAACTGGTAATATCAATTGCATCCAGACAGAGTAAGTGGACAATGGACCAGGAGGCTGGGAAGTGTTACATATGTTCTTGTACTTTCATATCTCACAAAGATATACACATATGTCCATGTGTATAAGAAACACATGGGAACCAAATGGCAACATCAATAAAGGAAATGTTTTTAAAAATTGGTTAGGGGCTGGGGACATAACTCAGTTGGTAACTGCATACCTAGCATGCATGAGGCTCTAAGTTCAGTCCACACTGTGTAAACCAGGTGTGGTGAGGTATGCCTGTAAGGCCAGCACTTTGGGAGGTAAAGTCTGGGGGATAAGAAGTTCCAGGTCATCCTGTTTATATAGCAAATTCGAGGCTAGTCCTGATTACATGAGCCTCTGTCTCCAACAAACAAAACTATATATTTTTTTTAAAAAATGATGTGTGCCCAACTTGTTAAAAACTTGGGAAACTCAGTTTCTCTTGTTGTATGCCAATCTTTTGAATAAATGAAAACTTAAAAAAAGTAACTCATGTAGGAGAAATTGGGACCATCGTGGTGATATACTGTTTATGATCTAATAAAGTTTGCCTAAAGATCAGAATGCAAAGCTAGTCACAGCTATAAAGGCCAGGCAGTGGTGGTACACCTGTAATCCCTGCATTAGAGAGTTATATAAGGCAGGAGCAGTGTCTCAGAGCAGGCATTCAGTATTCAGTATTCTGACAATTAGTCTTCATCCACATTGAGATCAGGATTGCCCCAGCCCTGGTAGAGGTTAGAGCTGCCTGGTAGCTTGGCCACTTTGCTTCTCTGATCTTCAGTTTGAACCCCAATATCTGTCTCTGGGTTTTTATTATTCGTGTTACAGAGCATTACTTATAGAACAGCTTGCCATTTCCCCATCTCCAAATGTAGGTTTTAGTAACATCAATATCAAAACAGCTCTGAAACTGTAAAGAAGGGCCAAAGCTCAGTGGTAGAAGTGCCTGCCTTCCCCAAACCTTTGGGTTATCATCTTGAAAGCAGCGAAAAACGAAGCCAGACAAAAGCAAAAGAAAGCAAGATGGCAACAAGCACACAAAACACAGATGAAAACCTCCAGACAACATGAACAACAAAAACAAGGGGTTAGTGAGATGGTTTGGCAGGACAAGGTGCTTGTCACCCAGATGACATGAGTCCCATCCTTCAGGCCCCTTTGACAAGAGAAAGCCCAGTCCTGTTAGTTATCATCAGATCTACACACACACACACACACACACACACACACACACACACACACACACGGAGTAAGATGGAGAAAGAGCCCAAGAATAGGTGACTCAGGTAAAGATGGAGGAAGTCTCTTAAGAGGCAAAAAGTAAAGCAGTCTCTTGAATTCTTAGCATTAATATTAAAAAATGAAATAACATGCTGTCAACGAGTATGCGTTAGACATCAGTTGCTATTTAGCGCATCAGGTGGGCCAACTCTCTATGAAGAACAGGTCTGGAGACCACTTTGACCTTGGCAAGTACCGAGCAGTCCCTGGAGAAAATGAACTCTTCAATGCTATGGAAGCAGAGGTCAAACGGATCAGCACATACCTTGCCAGAAAACAAAGTTCCCAGACTCAGCGTGGCAGGCGGAGATAGGTGGGTGGTGGCTGACCTGATGGAGACAAACGACAAAAAACAGAATTTGAGGAAATGTTGTGCGTGGGAAGCCATCCCTTCTCCTTGAGCTGAGCTGTGCCCACAAGAGCAGTGTTTTAGCTTGAACAAGTGTGTCCTCAAGAGGGCAGTCTTGGCGTAGCCAGCTCCCCCTTCCCCTGGGTGGGTGGGAAGGGAGCTGTGAATGGAAGCTTTCCAGGAAGCATAGCCCAGCCTCAAGTGATGGGGACACAGGCATGATTTGAACAGTATAAAATAAAAACAGGAACGGTGGAGAGGACTGCACTTTCCTTGGCCAGCACTGTGTTTGACATGCCGTGAAAAGGCTTGAGAGTATTTTAAGTAAGCTGCCAGCGTCACCCTTTCAGTGTGCTACTTTTAAGTAACATAAAAATATATCCCCCTAGGGCTCAGAAAACTGGATCATGAAGTCCAGGCTCTGAAGTCATTGATATGGCCAATCCAAGATAGTTCTTTTGGTTTGTTTGTTTTATTTTATTTAAAAATTCATTCATTCATTCATTCATTGTGCATGTGTGTGCATATACATATATACGTTCATGTACCATGGCTCAAATGTGCAAGCGTGAGAACAATTTGTGGGAGCCAGTTCTCCCTTCTACTCTGTGGGTTCTAGGGATGGAGCTTAGGCCCTAAGTCTTGGCAGCCAGTGCCCTTATCAGCCGAGCCATCTCACTGGCCCTGAAGATAATTCTTCAGAATTATGTCTGTAAAGCAGAGCTAGCCATAGCCACTGAAGAAAGTTCCCCAAGTGCCAAGGGGGAAATGTGTTGGGACTGTAGAGACAGCACAGTCCATGAAGCCATTGCTGTGTAAGTATGGGGACCTGAATGTTGACCCAGAACCCACATGGTGGGGCAGGGGAGGGGGAGAAGCAAGCAAGCTGGGTGTGTTGGCTGCCATTTGTAAACCAGCACTACAGCAGAGACAAACAGGTCCTTGGGGCTCACTGGTCAGCCAGCCTACTTGATGAGTACCAGGCCAGTGTGAGACCCTGCCTCAGAAAAACAACAAAAACATGATAGATGGTACCTAAGGAACAGTACATGAGGTTTTCTATTGGTTCCCATACATGTACCTGCCAACACAGAAAAACACACACACACACACACACACACACACACACACACACACACACACACACGTAACACACGCTTGCAAAAAAAAGTGTTGCTCTATTATCAGTATATAAAAGCAATCTTGAATGAATAAGTAATTACATCCTGGAAGGTCTGACCCTCAAAGCAGGGACTGCCACTGGGGGTGGGGTGCCATTGCTTGTTGTACCCATCAATCAAGAAGCTCAACACAAAATGGAGGATGTGTTCCATCGTTCCTTTATCTCAGTAGCACTCAGGACTCTGAGCTGTTCTCACAGATCAGTACGGGGGGGGGGGAGGGGGGGGGGGGGGAGGACAGGCATGCTGGCAGTGCTCTTCCAGAAATTTCTCTGATTTCAATGGCTGTTAGTAGAGGTTATCTCCTATTTGGAGTGTCTATTTAAGGCCTTTCCTATGAACAGGATGCAGACTGAAACCAGATAGGTCAAGTTTCCCACACCACAGCATGCAGAGAGTCCACAGAGCAAAAGTGAGTATCGGTGTGCCTCAGTGGTTAGGACGTCAGGAAAAGTGTTAAGTAGCTGAGCTGTTCTCAAATACCACATTAACCACTCAGAACTTCTATCTGGACTGAGCAGGTGTGCAAGGAGACAGTGTGTGTGTGTGTGTGTGTGTGTGTGTGTGTGTGAGAGAGAGAGAGAGAGAGAGAGAGAGAGAGAGAATCCACAGCCACTCACTCTGGCTCTCTCTAGGCTCACCCATGCTGAGGATCTGCTTTGTAAACTCCCCCATATGTGGAGAGCTGCAGGGATGAAGGATCCCCAGGCATCCTGCCACAGCCTTAACTGACAGGAAAGCAGAGAAAGACAGAAATAGCATCCACACCTTCGGATTACTCAATGAACTGAAATCCCAGCTATGGGAAGTAGGAAGCCAAACCCTGTTGTTGCTTGATGTCTCTTAGTTCCCAACGTACTGTCTGATGCCACGAGTTCCCTGCTTTTTCTCTGCAGTTTTGGAGAGAAATTTTCACTGTCTTAGGGCCCCAACTCCTAGAATCAAAGCAACCTTCTGCTTCTCTTTTAAAAGTCCAACTACTTGGTGATACTTTGTATCACAAATTGCTCTGTCATCCTCTTTCCTCCGGTGAGAGCTCTCAGAAAAGTCTATATGACAGGATGGCATACAGTTAAACTGGAATAAGGCTCTCCTCCTCCAGCCACAGTTGTCTACCTACCTGACATGTCCCGCTGGAGTGGGCAAGGAGCCATGGAATGTGGGAGGGAGCAATATGGACGTCATCAAGAAGTTAGTACAATTATGGGGATCACCAAATGTAAATATCAAAGCAAATTACTGTATACAAACCACATGTGCCTGCTCTGTAATTATTTGGAATCCTATAAAATGGGGATGCTTTACTGCCCATAGAAACTAGAGGGGTCTTGTGATATTAGAAGTATATACATATTTCATAAGAATGCCGATATAATCTTTTAAACCACTATAGCAGATTAACAATGTTTGGGCCCCAACTCCTAGAATCAAAGCAACCTTCTGATGGATCCAAAAAATGGTTTGGGGTTTTTAACTTCTTTTATTTGTTTATTGTGTATTAGCGTGTAGAGGTCAGAAGACTACTTTCATGAGTCAATGTGGTCCTGTGTGTAAGGATTCAGGCATTATGCGGCATCGCCCCCTGTCACCTGGCAGAATGCCCTCAGTCCAGCCCACACCACTGTATCCCTAACACTGTGGCTCACAGGAATTGAACTCTATCACCAGGCTTGGAGGCAGGCACCTTTATGCCAAGTCATTTCTTGCTGGCCTGGAAGATGCGGAATTTTAATTGTTTCATGAAGACACAGTAACCTCTTGTCTTCATGAACCTTCTTTTATAAGTTATGAACCAGGTTTTTCAGCACAGAATCTGCTGTCCAGTGCTCCCCAATTGATGTGCAGCATCTCACCACCGACCCAGAGTTCTCCGTGCACCCAGCAGAGACTACTTCCAAAGATGGCTCCTGTGCTTCCTAGGACAGCAGCATACCGTTAAATTTGCCTCTTCATTGTCACTTAAAGAAAAACAAATCTTTTGATCTGACCTTTCTAGCCTCTCTGTGTTGCATTTATTTTTTTGTAAAATGAAGTCAAAGAAACTGTTTTGATTTCAAAATGCTGATGCTAACATCTGCTCTCAATATCTTCAGAGGAGAACACTAGAAGATACCAGGCAACCTGAAAATCTGGTTCTAGGGCTTATAATTTTGAATGCCCACAGAAAGGGCTTATTCACAGTTGATACTTAATCTTTGGGGCTGGCAGCCCTTCAACTTATGAAGAAGAGGTAGCACCCACTTCTGTACCTTTGCTGTTTAGTCTTGATGCTTTTTTTTGTTTGTTTGTTTTTAAAACAGGCTCAATAGGTAGCCAAGCCTGTGACCCTCCTGACTTAGCACCCTGAGTACTGAGATAACCTGGTCAGTCTCTAATTATTACCACATCTCAAGCCAGAAAAAAGAAAGATTGCACACAAAGGGGCTGGACTGAGCATTCAGCAACTAAAAGTGCTTGCTGTTCTTGCAGAGGACCTGAGTTTGATTCCCAACTCCTGCAATTCCAGCTCCAATGCCCTCTCTGGTTTCCAAGAGTATCTGAAGACACAAGTGTGTGCTGCACCTGCACGCACTTGAGTACACACACACACAGAGACACACACACGGGGGGGGGGACAGAGAGAGAGAGAGAGAGAGAGAGAGAGAGAGAGAGAGAGAAACAAGCAGTAGCTGCCTTTGAATGTGACCTGGCCTGGCCCCAGAGAAGACGATGCCCTACTGGGTACATGGTTTAACCTGGTCTCAGTACTCTCGCCTATACTTCCTCTCCAGCCAAGGAAGAGCAGTCCCTCACTAGTTAGAACCCCCCAAGTGTGCAAGAACCCAGTGAGTCTCATTTACCACCAGTATGTCTATGTAGTCTTTTCTGCTAGTCTCAACACAGTGGACATTTTTTACAATGGATGCTTTATTTGTCTATGTGAAGCCTTTATTCCCACTGACAATCACGTTTTATTTATGTTTTGCTTATACTTTGTATAGGAGGCAGATGGGCAGAGAAGCAGAAGAGGAAAATGTATTTCAGTATTTGTGTGTTTGTACTTTTAGAAGAAGTGTATCCCTTAAATACGCCACTTCTCCCCTGAAACTGTCAGAGACCAGCTACACACTTCCCAGTTCCTGACACCATCCCCAGTGTAAGTAACGCATGGCACAGAGAAGTATTCTGTGTAAGCACTACCCGAGAGGGGGCAAGGGGCCATTCTTTCCACAAGTCACTCATCAGACACTGGCTAAGCGCCTGATGTGTCAGAGAGCCTATGTTTTAGGGTGGAAGTGCTGAGGCAGACAGCACACACAGCACCAGTCTGTCAGCAGGGGTAAGTGTTAAGAGAGGGACAGCAGCGCCTGAAGAATGGGGCACAGGGAGGGCTCGGCAGGACTCTGACAAAGGAAACCTACTTGGCTCGGGGAAATAAGAAAGCCAAACATAAAGTTATCTTGGGAGGGTGCCACAGGCAGAACACAGCAGCAGTCAGGGCCCTGGAAACTGGTGTAAACTGGAAACACAGGGTGGCCCCCACCCCCAAGGCTGTAGCTGACAGAGATAGGGAGCGCAAGAAGCGTGAGGATGGGGCAGGTCTTGGATGGCTTTAGGGGTATGGCCAGGACTCCATATTTTACTTCAAGGGGCCTGGGAAGTTATTGGAAGACACACAGTAGTCATTCTCTTTCCTTAAAACAATCACTGGGTGCTGGGTCCTCCGAGAACTGGCCATGGAATCCAGAGCGCAGTTGAGTCTAGTGCAATAATGCTAGCCACTGTTTATGGTGTCTTAGGCTGGTGGCCAGTACTAGTGGAAAAGGTGGAGGCTTCTGAAGGGGAATCCTAGACTTGAGGACTTGTTGATGGTGCCTAGAAGAACAGCTGGTGTGTGTGTGTGTGTGTGTGTGTGTGTGTGTGTGTGTGTGGGTGTCTGTGTGTGTGTGTGTGTGTGTGTGTGTGTGTGTGTGTGGGTGTGTGTAGTTGGAGGTCCCCTGTCTTCCTTTATCACTTTCCACCTCCGTGTGTGTGTGTGTGTGTGTGTGTGTGTGTGTGTGTGTGTGTGTGTGTGTGTGTAGGTGGCGGAAGGTTGGGGACAGGACACTGCTGGTGTGTGTGGAGGTGGCCCATGGTTTATACTGAAAACATAGCTTCTTGCCAAACAAATCCCAAACACCTTACATGAAAACATGGCCTAGAAACAGGGAGGGACACAAAGCCATGGCTGAGCAGTATTATTCCCAAGCTTTATTTGAACAGCTTGGATTTCCCCTCTGCTACGGTCATTGAAGACAATGTGGTGTTAATCAGGAGTAACAGCGGGCCACTATTAGGGAAAGAAATGATTCTGAGAAGGGACAGGAACAGCAGGGTGGTGGCAGGAGAGCTGTGTAAAAGCTCACAGAGGGCAGAAGCTCAGTGTTCCCCAGTGAGCAGCAGAGAAGGAAGAGGTGTCAGCAGGTGAGAGAGCTGGGCCTCTGGTCACCTAACCCTGCCCCTCACAGCTGCAGCACACTACAGCTAACCCTGTTGTCGGGGACGCAGGTGAGTCCCTCCAAATTCTAAAAGCTTGTCACCTGTACACACGGGACAAGTGCAGCCTCATGTTGCTTCCACAGGGTAGACTGTGTCCTAAGCCAGAAGCTGAAAAGTCACACAAGCAGGCAGGAACTCGAATTGGATGATGCTCCTTAGATATGCTATGGTAGAGGGCTTCACAGCAGTGAGTCTTCTGGTGAGGGTGACTGAGGGCAGGAGAAAGGTAGGGCGTGCGTGCGTGCGTGCGTGCGTGCGTGCGTGCGTGCGTGTGCCCAGCACTGCAGGAAAAGGAGACTCTGACCCCAACCCTGACCACTTCTAGGACAGATGACAGACACATCGTCACGTTCTCCTGTGATTATAATCCTGCTTCGCAAGTAACCTGCTAATGGGTGAATCCCCCTCGGCCCCAGTAAATGCATACAGTGGTGGCATCCCAGTTCTGCCCTGAGAAGCTCAGCTTTTCTTCAGTGCTCTGGAAGCAGCAGCTATTTGAGCCAGAAGTCTAAAACCCAGACAGATGCTATGGCTCCACTACTATCAGGACCGGTGGTCATAATGACAGCAAAGCCAACATATGGCTGCCTGAGGGCTCTCTCCCTCTCACTGGAGGCACTCAGCCTCTCGTGCTAGCAGGGTGATACAACGTATCTTACTGTAATTCCTGTGCTGTTATGGCGCCCCTTACACTATTCTCCACGCTCTATTTAGAGGTGTTTTAAAGTCCCCTCTAAATGCAAGAGGGATAACCATTAACTGAGTATTCTTTCCTGTGAGTGCATCATTACCACAGCAGTCTCTCTTTCACTCAGGCCTTCCCTACAGCCCATGAGCCAAGCACTGCCATTCCCACTGAATAAAGACAAAGGCTCCAAGGACTTGAGTCACTCATAAAGGTGTCCACTGAGCAGACAGGGGGCACAGCCTACACTGCAGAAAATGGACAGATGTCTTTCTTTGCTTTTCACCTTGGGATCCAATTTATATAGCCAAAGACTACATTTTCTGGAACTCTCTAGTGATCTCTCTGGGTATATGAGCACCTGCCCGTGGGCCCTGGTCCTCTTGCAGATGTGCCGGCAGGTCCTACGACTAGTCCACCCCTTCAAGGATCTAAGGACTGCACTCAGCCACCTTTCCACAGCTCATGTCACTCTCCCCTGAGAGTTCTTCATTCTGCTGAATGTCAGCTGTAGTTTGGGGCTATTTCAGGCCTTCATTTTTTCACAAGAGTGCATATAACACCATGGTAACTGAATCATGTTTTCTTTTTTCTCATTCCATTTTAAATTCAGTATTTAAATAACCCAGCTGAATTAGAATCAGACAGATCACTGGATCCCATAAGTACTGATTTAGCTCCCACCTCCTCATGCTAAGCAATATTTACCTTCTCATTTTCACCTGGGCCACCACTGGCAATACGCTCTGGGTCTTTTGTATATTCACTTTCCTCTGAGTTCCAGGGAACATAATTGTTTTGCTCTGTGTTTTGGTTTTGTGTTGTCTTTTTTGAGATAAGGTCTCACTACAAAGCCTAAAATGGTCTAGAACTCTGGGGGAAGCCAAGATTGGCCTTGAACTCTCAACCCTCCTGCCCAAGGCCTTTGGACAGTAGGATGGCAGGCATGACACACCCAGCCTGTACTGCATTATGACAAGCACGACATTCATCAGTTTCTAGGGAGCTGGGCAGGGTGTTTGTGAACCTGTAACCCCTTTACTGGGAGGCTGAGGAAAGAGGAGTGTGTGTTTGAGGCCGGACTGGATAGGTAGTGAGACCCCATTTTAAAGAAAAAGAAAGACAGAGGGTGGTGGGGGTTGGGGCAGAAAAAGCAAAGAAAAGCCAAGTTCACTACACCTCCTCTCCCAGTCCCCATAATGCAAATCCATTGACAAAAATAACCAGAAGGGAAAGAATATTTAGCAACTCACACTCCCTCTTTAGCCTCAGTTTTCTAGGAGTTGCAAGAGAAATATATCAGAGCAATGATGGCTAGTCTCCTGAAAGGGTGGGTTCCATCTTTCTAAAGGTTGCATTCTATTTTGGCTGACACATGGGGAAATTCATTCTCCAATGCCTGCTGCACAGTCATACTTCATAGACCAGACCCTGCTCTAGGAGCTCAGAAGACGAAAACCATGGCGTCACCTCCACTTTCCCTCAGCTCTACAGGCTGTAGGAACCAAACAGAACTGTACTTCAAATGTGAGCCACTTGGCTCCTGAGCCTTCCATGCTAACTAGTGTGGAAGGATGGACTTCAGGCTATACAAGGACATGTCGTTCATTAGATAGGGACTCTTGTCTATCCCTACAGCATCCCCACTCCACTGCAGGGGCTGAGACATCTGCCATAGTGCCAGACACACAGTAAGCATCAAAGAGAGAGACGTGACTTGTTGCTCTGAATAAACACACACAACACACACACACACACACACACACACACACACACATACACACACGTTCCTCCTAACTAAACTTCTACACCATTGCACTGACATAGCAACGCCCACTCTGAGGGGCAGTTAGGCTCCAGAATATGATGACAACTGTTGAGTACACTTTCTCTCTAAGTCACACTGGGCAGAGGCTGTGCCTTGGCACTTCCTTTTGCTAATGAGGTGAAGGACAAGGAATGTTGCTGTTGCTGCATGTGACCAGGCAGGTGCTCAGAATTCCCGAGGCCTGTGTGTCGTGGGTGGTAGCTGAGCTTCCATCGAGAGAAAACAGATCCTGGCTTTATGTTGCCAAGCCTGTAATTATCTCAGTCCTTTTGAAGCCACTGAAAGGGTGAAAATAAATATTTCAAAAGCACATTTAATAGCAGACACAAACAATTCTCTCAACAAACACAAAGGGTGCACATCACCTGCTCGGCAAAAAACTGGAAGCCCTTGTCCTGTCGGACACATTCGTACGTTTCTCCAAGGACCGGGTTAAACGGCTTGCTGCCTGCTCGGAAGTAGCTGGACGCATACGCAGAGATGGCGAAGGCTGCCACGTACACCTGTGAGTGGAAGGAGAAGACTAGCTTACTTCTGTGTCACCAAGAAATCTGTCATGAAGAAATAAAACCTGTGTCTATTTCAGAAAGACAAGGATCTGTCTTTGCTTTAAAGACAACTCAACCAACTTAGGTTTACAGTTGTAGGTTTCAATAATGCTCATTTGGGCCCAGAGACAAATCAACCAGTTTAAACTGCTCATTTCTTTTGGTGTCTGAAATCTGGAAGGCATGATTTGATTGAGGTGATAAAATTCATCCAACAGCATGTCAATGCTAACTCCTCTACTTGCAGCCAGGCAGTGCCAGCAATCCCAACGTCGGGCCTCAGGGAAGACGGTGAAGGATTACAGAGGAATGAAAGTCCCCCCAATTCAGAAATATGCACAGTACGTTCAACTAGTGACCGACTGATACCGTAGAAACCTGAAAACTTAAACTCACATTGAGCAAAGGAAATGTGAGCCATTGTACTCTGAGAAGCAACAGGCTAGAGGCACTTGGAAGTTCTGCCTTTCTGAGAGGAAAATTAAGAGGTGGAAAGGGGGGAGAGGGGGAGGGTGTGTGAGAGGACAGAGGAGGAGGGGGAGGGAGGAGGGAGGAAAGAAGAGGAGGAGGGAAGAGAGAGGGGGAGGAGGGAGGAAGAATAAACTCTTTGCATACATGGGATTAGCAAAATCTTTTTCTGAACTTCACCATGCAGATTCCAGCATGTTGTTTAGCTTTTTTTTTTTAAGATTTACTTATTTATTATGTATGCAGTATTCTGTCTGTATGCCAGAAGAGGGCATCAGATATCATTATAGACAGTTGTGAGCCACCATGTGGGTGCTGGGAATTGAACTCAGGTCCTCTGGAAGAGCAGTCAGTACTCTTAACCCCTGAGTCATCTCTCCAGTCCTGTTCAGCTCCTCTTTAGGGGCATCAACAGAAACAGATTCTCTTGTCTATATTTTGTTTTCCCCCCTCAATGTTATATGAAGTAGTAACATGGAGATTTCTTTTTAATACCAGATAGTAACAGTCTCAATATTCTTCTTCCCTGAACATCCTATGAGGTTTGTTACACTTACCTCAGTGTCATCTGTAACTGTGTGTGCGTGCGTGCGTGCATGCGTGCGTGCGTGCGTGCGTGCGTGTGTGTGTGTGTGTGTGTGTGTGTGTGTGTGTGTTTGTCATGTGCACATGTGTAAGCATGCATTTGGAAATGAGAGGTCAATATCCAGTATCTTCCTCAGTTGCTCCCCACCATAATTTTTTGAGTCAGGGTCTCTCACTCCACATGGAACTCACTAATTTGGCGATATCATCTGGCCAGCAAACTCCAGGGGTTCACCTGTCCTGCCACCCTCCAGGGCTAAGGGTTTCCCACTCCACCAGCTTTTACATGGGTGTTGGGGATTGAACTCAGGTCCTCACCCTTGCACAGCCATCTGCTGTCTGAGCTGCATTCCTGAAGCCTGGGAAACATGCCTCTCTCTCCCTGCCTCCGCAGTCTTTGACACACTGAACTGGAAGCTTGCATTGTCTCTGTGGAACGCCAAACACTTTGAGTCTCCTTTAAAAAGTAAACTACAGTGCTGGAGAGATGGCTCACCTTTCAGGAGCACTTACTGCTCTGGGAGAGGACTAGAGCTCAGTGCCCAGCACCCCATGGTGGTTCACAATCACCTTACTTCCAGTCCCAGGGCATCTGACATCCTCTCCTGGCCTTTGAAGGCTCCTACACACATGTGGTGCTTATGAACGCACTCAAGCACACACACTCATCCAAATACATTAATAAGTCTTTGGGGGAGGGACCCTCAAAATACAGCAGACTAAAGAACTCAATGCTAGCCATGACGCTAGGCAGTAATGAGGGGCAGACAGTACAAAATCTCCTCTTTGGTGGCACAAAGAACCTACACAGGAGAATTTGGTGACCACAGAGAAGTAGAGGAAACACCTGGCTGTGGCTTTGGCTCTGTGGTTGTGCTGGGGCCATTTGGTCTTGCCCCAAATATTCTTATTCTCCTTTTGTTTTTGAGACAAGATCTCATATTATAGGTCACGCTGGCCTAGAAATTGCACAAATCTTCCTGCCTCAGCTTGCCTAGTGTTGTGTGTACCATTAGCCACAGCTTAAACTTTTGTCCAAAGTCAAGAATTGGGACCAATTGGTCCCAAATGTGCACCAATTCTCCTGCCTCGGCTTCCCCGGTGTTGGGATTACAGTTGTGTACCACTGTGCTGTCCCTAGATATCTATTCAAGGTCAAGCACAGGGTTCAATTGATCAATATCTTAAGGGTTCTAAACTGCCACAGGAGTGAAATACACTTAAGAATATTTTCTTCCTTTTTTTTTGTAAATTTTGATTGTTTTGTGTACGGGTGTTTGTGTTTACCGCTATGCACCATTCACTTTCAGAGCCCAGGAGGCCAGACAATGATGTTGGATCCCCTGGAATTGGAGTTATGGATGACTGCAAGTCACCACATGGGTGCTGGGAGTCTGCCAGGTGGTGGCACACGCCTTTAATACCAGCACTTAGGAGGTAGAGGCAGGAGGATCTCTGCAAGTTCAAGGCCAGTCTGATCTATAGAGTGAGTTTCAGGACAGCTTCCAAAGCTACAGAGAAACCCTGTCTCAAAACCAAAACAAAAGAATATTTTCATATCAAAAAGAATCATTTTCTTTGAGGCAAAGCACCATAAATGCCGACTTTTACCACTAGATTTAGAAGCTTTCTGCTTCCTTGTCTCCAGCAGACACTGTCTGGGGAAATTCAACCAAAAGGGCAAAATCACAACTAGTGTTTTTTTTGGCATTTATGATCATTAGCATCAAGAGAGAAAATCTCTGATACAGAGGTCCCAGGGACCAGGCAGAATGACATGGGGACGTCTCTTTCAGCCAGGGGCTGAGGTTCCCATTTGCTCCCAAATGTGCACCAATCATGGCAGCCAAGAAGCTTCATTGAGCCTGAGAACGTCGGCTGTGTGGAGTTTGAAGAGGTCTGCGTCCTCTGTCACAGGGGTAGGGAGTGGGGTGAAAGGGGAGTAGGCGGTAGGGGTGGTTTCTGCTAGTTCTGTGAAGCCCCAGGGTACTCTCCTCTCCAGTTTAGCGAATAACAAGAGAGCTCTGCACTGAAGCCGCAGCTCCCCACACAGGCGAGGGGTCCACTGATCACGGGCTCACATCCGAGGATGCCAGAAGAACAGTTTCCACAACAAATACTTTCAAGAGTTTTACAACAAAGTTATTTATTTAAATAACTCTATAAGAGAGAGAAAAAGGTGGGTGGTTGGGGGGTCATTTTCTGGTGTAATGGTGTAAAAAAATCACCCTCTGTGAATGATATTTTCCAAAAGCGTAGGAACGAATGGGACAATTCCAGAAATAAACAAACACATTCTCAAGGGAAATTTACTCGGGATGAGAGAAACAGCTCAAGAAATTAAATTCTGTCCACCCAGGGTAGTAAAAATAAACACAGACAGCCTAAAGCTATGTTTTCTAGCCAAGCCTATGAGAACCATCAGATGGAAGTTTCCAGAGAAAGAGCAAGCACAGAAACAGCCTAGCCACTGGCCCCTGGCACCAGCGGCAGAAGGCCCCTTTGCTTCCTCACTGCAGATTCGGATGAGGTAACTGCACACAGCCAGGAAGGTGGGACTGAGTAACTTCAGAGAAATGACCTCTCTAAGGAGCTATCAAAAGGAGGACGGGGCTTTAGGCCTCTGGGCTCCTGGCTCATAACAATGCGGGGAGTGGATCCTCACCATCCTCTCCAGGGCGCTGGGGATGCGCGCAGCCTTGTCCAGAAGCTCGCTGTACTCCAGCTCCTCACAGAGCCGCTGCAGTGTGTTCAGGGGCTCATTCAGCTCCACGGGCATGGCCACCTTGGACAGGTCCTTCCCAATGTTGTTCCGCAGGATGGTCCACAAGCTGACACTGCTGGTGTTGGGACCCTGTGCGGGCAAGCAGGTCCGCCTTTTGGACCTGGCTTCCCCACCACTCTCCAGAACAGGCCCTGAAAGGAAAGACATCTGGGTGACTCCAGGAAGCTTTAATCCACGAAGACAACCTTCCCTAGCAAGCATTCACGGTCAAATCAGTTATGCAGTGTAGATGGAAAGACAGAAACTAGCAAAAGAATTCTGAGCAATTAAATACCAAAACTCAGGGTTAGGGTGTAGCTCAGTCGGGGAACATGTGCTTATACACCGTTCCCTGGCACGGCACTGCTAAATAAATAAGTGCCCTAAACTGCAAACTCTAAAAGCCATGCACTTCATTACTGGGGAGACGTATTAAGTCCCACTCAAAAGCTAGTTCCTCCCCGCTTTCATATTCAGAAGAACGGAAATCAGTTTCCATGCCAATAGCAGGTTAGACGGGTATAAATTTGAAAACGTAAACACATCAAATTCGGAAAATCAACTCTGCTTGTTTGATGTTTTGTTTGAGATATGGTCTCATTCTGTAGTCCAGGCTAGCCTCCATCGCACCATCATCTGCCTTCACATTCCCAGTACTGGGATTATAGCTGTGCACTACCTACTGGTTAAATTGTCTTTATTCTACAAAAAATAAAGACATCTGTGAATTAGTATATTCTCCATCTGTTTTATTGACAGTGTACGGGCGTTTTTATGTTCTGCTTATTAAGCTGTCTGAAATACATTTTTGTTATTTAGATTCTTCAATAATATCATTTTTAGTGATTGTAAAAATATTTCGTGGTATAGACACATAATGTACTGAATCACTCATTACTGTTGGGCCACAGAGTTTTTCTAGATGTTCAGCTGCAATTCAAAAAACTCAAAGAAAACCCAACAGCAACCAACAGTACAGAATATCATACATTTAAAGCATTTGCCTGGCCCTCTTATTATTTTATCAGCACATATGGATGAGGACTGCCATGGAAGGCTGTAAGTGCTTTTGCTTCATATGATCTGAATGTTATTAAAAGACCACCGAGTACATGTGGGGTGCCCCTCCCACCACCACCACCGCTGTCCCTACATGCAAAGCCCATGTGTTGAAGACTGGATTCCCCAGCTGACAGATCCAGCTCCTGAGACCTGGCTGGATCAGGAGCTCTCTGACCCCATCAATGGCTTGATCACTGACTTTTGCTTTACAGTGAGTGGACAATAGGTGGGGGCTGGAGAGAGTGGTCCCTTGGGGCTGCTCCTTCCTCCTGCCTCTGCTTCTAGGCTGCCATGAGATGAGCAGCCCTGATCCACGACGTCTTCTACATCTCAGGCTGTCTCAGGTCACAGCAAAAAGACCAAAATCTCCCAAATCACAAGTCAAAAGAATCTTTCCCTCCTCTAAGCTTTCACCTCAGGTGATTGTCACAGTGGGGAAATCCCTGCTAGCACAGGTGTACAACATTTTCCACAAGAAGACAAGATCAGTTGTAAACTGATCTGAACCCTTTTCAAGCTTGACACTGATTGTTTCTTGCCCCCACCATGGGTCCTTTTATATGTCTCAGGGTAGACTTGAACTCGTGATTCTCCTGCCTCAGCCTCCCAAGCACTGCGGTTCCGAGTGCATGCCTGCAAGCTCAGCATCACTGTTTGCTTTAAATGTTGTCTCCTGATGCTGATGGACACTGAAGAACTTTCTGGTATATTCTGGAATGCTTTTGTGAATATTCCTTCTTCATCCTATATAAACTGCTTCCCTCCCTTTTGCCTTTATGTCTATTTTACAATTTTATATCTGCTATTATAATTTTATCCTGAGTTGGCATTTACATTTAAGCTTGGTCCACGGAGATTTTGGTGAATGAAGCGTTTACATGTAAAGCTGCCCCTCTTCTCCCCACACTCTGTTGCCGCTCTCCTGGTCTGTATCTCTTTTCAAATGGCATCTTGTCACTGAACTGATGACCAGATGTACGCCACTTTCTGTGTGTGCTCACTTACTAAACATAAACGCTCAGCACTCACTCATTACATAGTCAATCCCTCTGAATACAGAGGCAGCTTTGATGAACAGAAAAGTCTGAAATTGGGGTCATGCTGTGGAGTTGCACGCTAATTTAAACATCCAGTTAAGTTCCAAATTTACTTTAATTGGTTTTATGGGCAAAATTTGACACAGGCGTGTAGCTGAAAATGGTAGCATCTTTAGAAACATCTTTGCAGGTACTCTCATACTTTCTTTGGTTTACTTAGTCTAACATTTCAAAGACTGCTACTGTAGTAACCACAGCCATGCTATTGATGGCTCACTCGTACCCTGCTTTTCACTCTATGGTGTTGGTCACCTCAGCCTCTGACATGTGTTATTCTTCTTCCTCTTTAGGATAATTCTTCAAGTAAACAGATGAAGAAAGTGAGGCAGAGAGGAGGGACCAGCATACATAACCAACAAGGAATAGAGCTGGGACTGGAACTCAAAGATTCCCTTCAGTCCATATTCCCAGCTACCTAACTTCTGTGGCATTCGGCACAGCAACAGGTCCTGCCACATGGACCTGTGTTTTTTGGGGAAAGAGAAACTGATAAGAAGAGCCCTGAACACCAAACATCTGCTGTGCACTGGGGGATTCTAGTGTAACAGCTGGAGAGCTGTGGGTAATTTAGCTGTTTTCATTTCCTTTCTTGACACAGAGGCTCACATATCCAACAGGCTGGACTTGAACTCTCGATGTAGCCAAGGATCCTCTTGAATTTCTGGTCCTCCTGCCTCTACTTCCCTAATCCTGGGATTACAGGAGAATACCATCATGTCTCACTCTATGATCATCTTCCTAACCTGATCACTCTGCTTCCTGAAGTCACAAGATGCTTGGGATTAGTGAGACATCCAGGGACCCCACAGTTCAGACTTACATTATCAAATAACTTTCTTTAAAAACTACATTATTTATTTGACATTCATGTGCCACACTGTGAGGGTGGTGTGTGTGTATGTGTGTGTATGTGTGTATGTGTGTGTGTCCAGAAGACAACTTGTGGGTCCTCTCCTATTTTGTGGGTCCCAGGGATGGAGCTCAGATCACCAAGCTTGGTAGCGAGTGCCTTTACCCACTGAGTCATCTTGCCAGTCCCAGAAATACCTTTCTGGGTCATCATTTTTCTCCTTAGGGTTAAACAATGATGAAGGGGTAGCTTAGGGTACCCTGAGAGGAGTAGAAGTACATTCTCCTGAATATCTGAAGCTAACTATCACTTAGACTTTTTAGTTACACATGCTCTATCAAATTCTTGAACTACAACAACACTGTGGTATCTGAAGACAGAACACCACATCCTATATTGCATTTGTAGAGAAAATGCTTGACTACACAGGGGACACCCTTGTTTAAAAAAAAAAATCAGGCCCGGTGGTGAACATTTGTAATCTCAGCACTTGGAAGGCAGAGACATGAGGATCCCTGGGCTCTCAGGCAGCAAGCCTAGCAGAATTGGAAAGCCTTCAGTGCCAGTGAGAGATCCTGTATCAAAAGAATAAGGTGGACAACAGCAGAAGAATGATACCCAAGGTTGACCTCTGACCTACACACACACACACACACACACACACACACACACACACACACACACACACACACAGAGTTGCAGGCTTTCCAGAGATCCCATTATGTAACACTTACCTAAGGTCTGTCTTTCATTGTCTAAATCATTACTGAGGTTGTCTAAGGACAGATTGTCACTTATGTCACTGACATATGAATCGTCATCAGAAATCTGTGGGAAAGAAGAGATAATACACATGAGAGAGGGGGGAGGAGGAGGGAGAGAGGAAAGAAAAGAGGAGGGAGGGACGGAGGGACGGAGGGACGGAGGGACGGAGGGACGGAGGGAGGGCAAACAAAAAAGCCAGCCTTTCAGAAACCTCTACTCCAAATGACTAAGCATGCTGTGTCTCACATTATGAATCCACAGAAATAATTTGGGGTGCTATTTTTCATAGAACACCTTCCCCTACTCCACAGTCTACCTAGGTGATGTCACAGCAAAACACAAACAAGCTGCCAAGGCTGGGAGTGCAGGCAGAGTTCTTGCCTGGGATGTGAGGGACCCAGGTTGGATCCACAGAAAAGGAAAAGGGGGGCAGAAGGAGAGAGGGAGGACATTATTAGATATTCTTGGTTCTCACAAGAAAAATAAGCAAACAAAAGAACTCCAAGATTACTACTGTCAGCATAAAAATTCCTATCTTGCAGCATTTCTAGAACATGTGAGTACTTGAATAACAGAGTTAGCAACCTGTTTTTGAACTCTTTGTGGAAAAAAAAAAGACTCTTGCATGGGAATTAGTACATAAACAAAATTGTATTTTATATAGTATATAACAATTACATATAAGTATATATTATATTTCTCTATATTTAATGGATGAAAATCATACATAGTAATGCTGTGGGGCTTGCCTATTCCACAAAGTATGATTTTCTTATACATCAATTTAAAAGAATATTTGTAAGTATAAATTAAGTATAATAAACATATCAAACAGTAATGATATAAAATACATAGTACAAATTAACATGATTAAAAAACACACAGGATATAAAGCAGGTATGTGAACATGTAGAATTAACAACTAGCAATAGGAAGCTGCAAAAAGTCTAAGTAACAAAAACAAGAGTCCAAGACCCTGAATACCACATTTTCCTAGTGGATGGTATCACTTTGTGTTGGGGGGTGCGGTACAAGCAGACCCTCAGAACGTAAAGGTGTGGAGGAGCCATGGAAACTAGCCTTTTTATCGACAGACCTTTACTGAGTAGTTTGGTGAAGAAAGACATAAAGGAGACTAGACTCGCAGGGCAGATGACTGAAAACAGTGTCCAAACCTCATTTTCTGAAGAGCTAGGAGATAGCAGAACTTCCTGGGCATCAAAAAACTCAGAAAGGGAGTCCGTGATAGACAGCCTGCTCTCGTTGGAGAGCTGGTGCACCAGGGCTCGGCTTTCATCCCCGGAGTTTTCCTAGTGGAAGAGCAGAAAGAAAACTGCATGTATTTAAAAGTCTCAAGAGAAACAAAACACACAAGCGATGTGATTGCACAAAGACTGGGTCACAGGCCCACGCACACAAGGAACATAAAGCAGAGGTCGGCTTCAAAGGAGAAGCGAGCCTCACGGAAAACAAAGCGAGAAACGCCGTTCTCCTGCAAAGGATGCTTCACTTACAGGCTTGAACATTGTTGAGCCATGCGCCACAAATCTCAAGCACAACCTAGTTTTGTTCCTTTGAGGAGGAGGAAGGTTCCAGCACCAAGTCATGTCCTTTTACTCTCTACCACTCAGGATGCTTCTTCCCAGTCTAAACTCCTCAACACATGGCTGGTTTCAAGCAGGGTGTCCCCGTGCCTATTCAGAGGCCAGCATGCTGGTTCTAGGGAATCCCTTAACAAATTCACTCTGTGTTTTGGTCCAGAGGTGCCCATGATGGCAGATCATTCCTTATTCATGGATGAGTGGGATTAATTTCCTTGTCTCTCTTCACCCACATGACTCTTATAGGGAAGAAAACCTCAGGCCCTAGGCATGACTCTACAGTTCAGCAGAATGACACTCTACTTTTTTCTCAGGTTCCTCCATTCTCCAGACTCATGGAGAAGTATGTGGAAGGATCCCAGATACTTGGGATGTGCTTTCTCTTCTAAATGCAAGTAAAACTGCCACCCCACTCAATGAATCAAGCAAATATTTGTATGTCGTCTCCAGCCATTCATTATGAACATAGAGACTGGACAAGGCTTCTGACCTATGGCTGTGTGTACACATTAGACCAGAGCCACCAACAGACACTGAGCTACAGAAGTGGAGGTGATCTTAACCCTGACTCCTGTTACCTAGACCCTGATTAGGACAGATTTGGGACATGATAATTCTTTGGACTCCTGAGTCCCTAGTCAGCTCAGGTACTTCTCTGGCCTGCTGGGTGGCTCCAACATTGTCATTCATCTGACAAGTGAGTCCCAGACCAGATGGAAAGGAAGTTCAGGCAGATGCTGACATGCCCAAAGGTCCCATGAGCTTGGGATGCTCTGCTTATCTCACCCACATATACTGTGCCCAAGGAGATCCACAGGGGCCACAGGCCTCAGCAGTTTCCTAATTAATAAGCAGCAATGAATTCTTTGAACTTTAGGAACAGAGGGAATTCTACATCTCTTCTCTTGAAGTGTGTGTATGTCAGCCCAAGGTGTGGGTTTCTTTATACAGCCTCTAAAAGCCAACTTTCTCTATCCCCTATAAAGATCTTCAAGTATGGCAGCTGCTTTCTGTCTAAAATAATTTTTTTTGAAACTAAAATATAATTACACCATTTCCCCCCTTTTCTCCCTCTAATCCTTCCATGTACTCCCCTTGCTCTCTCTCAAGTTTATGACTTCTTTTTCTTTAACTGTTGTTTCATGCGCGCGCGCGCGCACACACACACACACACACACACACACACACACACACACACACACATACACACACACCATGCATGCACTCACATTTCTACATATATAAATACTGCATAAAGTTACTTGTAAGTATATTTTCAGGACTGACCATGTGATGCTGGATAATTGGTTAATTGGGGGACTCTTTCCTGGGAACGGCTACTATCCGCCCCCTGCACCTCTAAGTAGCCAAAGTTCTTTATCTAGGGTTGAGGCCCCCATGAGATTTCTCTCTGCCAATGTTATCACATCTTTAGGAGTCATGCTTTGTTCAGGAATTGTTTAGGCAGCTATGTCGATGAGACTGTAGTCATTAATGGCAGGCAGTTGCTTTCTTAAAGGAAATAAATGTCTCTCTCCTCCACAGACCCAGGCACAAGGCCGCTGAGCTGAAGATACTGCAGTGCCCAGCAGGACACCTTAAATGTTTATGCAGGCAACAGAATCTGCCCTGTGCCCTGAGGCTCAGAGATGCTAATCATTTATTTACTTGTGCTACTCATTAATTCATCACCACACATACTCGCTCTAGCTTCCTCCTCCAAATCCTTGGCCAAAAGGATTTCCTGACTTACCAATGCTGGAAACAATATGTGTTGAAAATCATTAGTTAAAATGTTCAGGTGCAACTGCGTTTTGGATTTCACTTTTAAAATGGAATTTTAAAAATATAATGAGGTATATGAGGGACTGGGCCAAAGTGTCAACATAAAGTCACTTCCATTACCTATGGACTTATACATGTAGTCTGAGGGTAATTTTAGAATATTCTGGGGGAACTGATTTTAGATTGACACCAGTCACACGAGGTCAGGTATGGAATTTTCCATGTGTGGTAATATGATGTTCAAAACGTTTGGGCTTTGAAACATTTCAGATTTGGGGTTCTAGCCCTACCTATTCTTGGTTTCCCACAAGTTTAGCAAGTACTTATGAATTCATACTGAAAACACCAGGACACAGTAGCACACGCCCAGCTTTTTAAAGAGCACAGGGCCTTATTTACTAAACTAGGAATATAGTTGAGCACAGTTAACTTCCCTCACTGTCGCTCAGGAATGGATGTCTACTTGTTGTTTATATTCCAAAAAATTAAAGACAAAATAAGAAGGGTGGGTAACACCCCAAATCCCATCATGCTAAAACAACTGCTACAAGCCTTTGGACATTTTCTCTCCTATCTTTTTTATTCATGTACTTTTGTTTTATAATAACTATAATCATACTATTAACAAATATAATTACATTTTCTCAAACAACATTGCATCAAAATAACGTTTCCCAACAGTAATATGTTCTTAGAATAAAAGTAGTATGTGTTTGAAAAATAAAATACAGAGTAAGACCCTGTTTAAAACACACACACACACACACACACACACACACACACACACACGCTCACGCGCACGCGCACATACACACACACACATACACACGCGTACACACACATACACACACACACATACACACACGCACGCACACACATACACACACATACACACACACACACAC